GTGGTGAAGAAGGAGCTGAGCTGTAAGGCGAAGCTCTCGATTTACTGGTCAATCTACGTTCCGACTCTCATCTATGGTCATGAACTTTGGGTCATGACCGAAAGGGCAAGATCCTGGATACAGGCAGCCAAAATGAGCTTTCTCCGCAGGGCGGCCGGGCGCACCCTTAGAGATAGGGTGAGGAGCTCGGTCACCCGGGAGGAGCTCAGAGTAGAACCGCTGCTCCTCCACATCGAGAGGAGCCAGCTGAGGTGGCCCGGGCATGTCCCACCGGGAGGAGGCCCCGGGGAAGACCCAGGACACGCTGGAGGGACTATGTGCTATCAAGAGAATGTTATTAACCCATTGCAAGACATTTTAACAAGTTAAAGCATCCTATGTCATCGTTATTTTTCACAAGCATAGAGGCAATCATAACTAGAGTAAGAGGTGGTAACACTAATCTTGTTAGGGAAAAAAAGAGAGCCATTTTAGATTTTTGACTGAGTTTATTTCCACGAGGTACGAACAAGGATTTCTCAATGAGTTTTTATAGTTTTTTTTTTTTTTATAGTCATAGGTTCTCATTGTGCACCCTGCTGTTTTCATTACGTTTAGCTTTATTGTATCATACACATGTGGTTATATCACTGTCTGTGGAGATTATGTTTCACTAAATGCGGCAGAGGGCAAAAAAAAAAGACCTGAAGCATAGAAAATGCCAGAGTTCCAAGGGGGCAACAGGCCTGCTTCACCTCTTCTCTCCTCCTCTTTAAGTTTTTCCACATTTTATCCGGTAACTGGGAGGTTTGCTGTCCCCAACCCACTTCTCCCTCCCTGGAGCCAAGTGTCACCAGCCTTATTCAAGATCTTACTGTAATGTAAACTACACTGGTTATAGTATACTCTCAGTTGTGTACATAAAAATAATGATGTCCAACACATTGAGTTTCAAATATAGTACCTTGAAGAAACTGCCCTTCCTCTCCTGCTTGCAGGGTTGACTGAGAGTACTGGTAGACATCTTCTCTGTAGAATCCCCTCTGTCTGTCTCTGCTGAAGTGTCAATGAATGAAATAAAAAAAAAAACATTAGAGCTACACATTAACTCATTTTGTAACTATTCTAAGAAAGTTCTGGAACAACTCAGCAAACCCCCATTCTCCCCACTACAGCACATTTGCAGCAACAAGCATTTTTTCTTCTTGAGGTCTTATATGGAGCTCTGACAGCAATTTCACTCAAATCAGTGATGACCAATGCCTAATTATTTTGATTAATACAAAACAGTGTTGCTGATTTTGCACAAACAAAGGCAGAATACAAACATACATACAGGCACACCTGACCCAGATGTTGTGGATTCTGTTATAGCAGATGATACAAGCCAGCTGTCAAGACATGCAAAAATATTCAAGCCCACCCTTTAAGACACATGTAAGAGGAAAACACCATTAGCATAGATCCTACTGACACACAATCCTATCCACAATCACTTCAACAACAGTGCTTAGAAAAAAAGATTGTTGTCAAAGCATAAATCTTGTGGCTATTGTTGGACACACTGAACTGTTTGTTGCATGACTTGTTGGAGGGAGTCAGAGAAAAGGCTTCTGGACAAAACACATTTGCTGTTTAGTAAGTGCTGGAATGCTTTTGATCCCAGAGCCAACTATGTGCTATTAGCATATACTGTAAATGTTCTAGTCACGTGCGGGACAACATTCACTCAGTGTTAGATACATTACAGATTATAGATCAGTTTGTTTAAAGATATCAACTGATGTCCTGTGCATGCTGGAGGTCACACTGATGAAGTCATCATAATCACATCATCTGCAAAAAACTGAGATAAGAGTGATAAACCAAAATTCCAGCCCTTACTGAAGTTGTGAGTGAAAGAATAAATTGCAGATACAGGTGGCTGAAATGAGTTTCCATTAAAGGGCAGCTGAATTTTAACACTAAAAACCTGGCCAGGCATCTTCACTAGCTGTTAGGCAAGAATTTTTTTTTTAAATGTCTCAAAATGACTGAATTAGAGTTGCCTGTTTTTGTGTGTGTGTTTCCTTTCTTTCTTTTTTTTTTTTACTGGCACGTGTCCATGCAAGATTGAGAAACAGAGACAAAAACAGGTTTATTTCTTGGAAAGTAACAGAAGCCATGGAGTGTTAGAAGGCATATGTCCTTACTGTTTTTATCTCCTATCTCTCTCACTGCCCTTATCTCCTTACATCTCTAGTGGGGCCCTCCTAAATCAATCCCTACTGTCAAAACAAAGCAGTGTAGGAAGCTTTTGGGTTGTTTTGGTTGGAACAAAATGTGTGTGTGTGTAACCTTGTTTTTCTAAAGGCCTACTTGTGGGGATAGAAAACTGAGAGCACACTAGCTTCATGGGGACCAGCATCCTTGTGGAGACTGGAGGCTGGTCCCCATGATATAGTCCATCAAATTTTACAAAAATGATGCAGTGTAAAGTTTTGTTAAGGTTAGAGTATGTCTCACAGAAATAAATATAAGTCTATCTAGGGACTTGGTAAGTGACAAAAACAAGGATGTATGTGTGTGTGTGTTTTCATTTGTGTGACTGTAAGCTTGTGTGTGATTCACAGCCCAGGCGTGGTAAACAGGATGGCCCCTGTGGTTGTCACTAAAGGAACAATAAACACTGGACTGCCAGCTGTCCAGCGATCCACTAAATAGCTCTGTGTCACAGACAGCATACAGTATTTGACACTATGTGATTTGAGAAGCACACACTTTAAGAGGGCCACTTCACCCACAGTGGTATGTAGCCATGCAGATAAGTTTTGGATTTACTGATTCAAAAATTTGACTAGCTGCTGAAATTTCTGCTGCTGCCACCCCAATTGGAGGATGATGAATGGAACATAATACATGTATGTTTTTTGTTTATCTTTTGCTCCCTTTCCCAGGCATTTTGAGGGTTAGGTAAATGGCATTTAAAAGTCAGTGTCATCAAATTAACTAACGTTTCAGTCGATATATGAAGCAGCCATTACTGTGGCAGGAAAATTTGAGTGAACACATTTGTGACACTGAAACCATAACTGTTTGAGGAAATAAGTCAGCAGTTACTCACTACAGCAAATAGTCTGTGTGAATGTGGAAAATATGTGCTATATATAATCTGTAAATAGAACTGATGTTAAACTGTTGTGTAACTTGCTTGCATTACACTTAATATATCCATGAATGTAGCATGCAGACAGTGGATTTTAGTGACCCCTGATTAGTCCCGTGTCAGTGTATTGGTCAGAATGCAAGCATAAGCATGTAATGAAGAGAAATTAACTTTGCAAGTCTCTCGACTGTGGAGTTTGCTTTCTATTGTTTTACCCCAAAAGTTAACACTTTTATCGGAGCAGCCATTTACAGCCTAGCAGAGCCAGTCTGATTCTGACAAGGTCCAGATAAAAACACTTTAGTCTGCCTGTTAAAACTGAACTGAGTTTCATTGAGAAAGTGTTTTAGATAAGTGGTCTTCAAACTTTTTGTTCCAAACGCACATCATTAAAAGATTCAAGGAATATGGAGGGATTTCAGTGCATACAGGCCAAGCGCACAAGCCTAAACTGGATGACCGAGCTCTCCCATTCCTCAGACAGCATCACATCAAGAATCGTCACTCTTCTATAAGCGATATAACCACATGGGCTCAGGATGACTTTGGCTCACCTTTGTCAGGCACTGCAATATGTAGCTACGTCTATAAATGCTGCTTAAAACTGTACTGTGCCAAAAGGAAGCCCTATGTCAACAGTGTCCAGAAGTCGACTGCTCTGAGCTCAGAGGCATCTGGGATGGACCATCGCACAGTGGAAACGTGTACTGTGGTCAAATGAATCAGTATTTCAGGTCTTTGTACAAAAGAACAAATCTCACCTTTATGTGCCTCGTCTAAGTGGGTTTTGTTGTCCTTTTCTCCTCGTTCTACAGTTTGCTAAATAGATCCAACCTTAATGTATATTCATGTATTGAACATGTATTAACTAGCTTGTTGAGTTTCTTTCTGTCCCTGACCGTGCTACCTCCTGCCCAACCCACAACAGCGTAAAAAACTGCAGATGCCACCACAGAATCATAAAATGTCCGAAGGAGTGCCCTGCGCACACCAAAGGACCTCAGTCTCCTCAACAAGCGGAGGCAGCTCTGGCCCTTCTTGTACAGGGCATCAGTTTTTTCAGTCCAATCCATTTTGTTGTTGAGGTGGACACCCAGGTATTTAAAGGTGTCCACAATCTCAATATCTGAGCCCTGCAATAAAATAAAAACAAATATAAACAGCACTTCTCTCCTGTTTGAATGGCATTTCCTGTTGTGGTTGAACTGGGAGATATGATGGCAGCCATGAAGTTTCTTCCACAAAAACACCTATGGTTAGCTACCAAAAGTGTGTCAGACACATTCCATCTCCCTTTACACTAGCTGGGTGTGTCTCCACTTTGTAGGGCAGAGTTAACCACACAGCAGTGAAAGCAGACACATGCACAAACACAAATCTTGGCCGACATATAGAGAGGCAGTTCTTTCTAGCAACACCATGTAAACACACACACACACACACTGACCAGTGACTACTCCGGCAGCTATCAAAGCATTTACACCACACTCTGCACAAACACTCACACCCTGTACTCCAAGCCAAAGCAGACACCACCTAATAAAAATGCTGAACTATACTTGGTGGGATGCCTACCTCACTGAAAACCAGTCTAAATTAAGACTCAAAAACATGCTTAACCCCATTAAACTACATATTTAACTTAATACTTATTTGGCCAGCCAATTTCATCTGTGGTCTTTAAATGTTTTACCTGAGCATGAAGAACACATTCATAGGTCAATATCAACTTTCTAGATTCTTTCAAAATCCATGACTTTAACATGAATCCTAGGCTGTTTTCCAAATGGGGACTCAAATCTCCTACTGATTACAGTGTGAAAAAAGGAGAATGCGTCTCCAGATTTATTCCTCCTACTGTACTGTATTCAGTAATTCCTCGTACATTTCAGTTTGCCTTAAACCAACATTTAGGGAAATAAGTATCTGATATGTTACAGCTAACATTAGCTATAGCCTACCTGTAGCTATCATTAGCACTTGCTGCAGCAGACCTCTGCCACACCAGCATAACATTAGTTAAAAAGCGAGCTTTAACGTAGCTCAGCTCTGTGACTAAAGACACCAGTAGAGAGAAATACACAGCAATTTGTGGTAGGGAGTATTTTAAAAAATAATGAACAATTTGTAGTTTAAAAACCTCATAGTCAATACTGTAATGTTCATGTAGGTTAAGTTTTGTTCAAGCACTTCAAGTTAATTGTTATTCAACTTAGGTAAATCTACATGTCTGTCCTTAATAAATAGTTGTTATTCAACTTAGGTAAATCTACATTTACTTAGGTAAATCTACATGTCTGCATTTCTCTGAGGGAGTGGCATGGAGGAAATTAAAAAGACAGTTTTAAATAACACATAATTCAACAAGGTTACAACAAAAGTGTGCTGACCTTTTTTTTTTTACTGCACCCCAATATCAGACTGGCGAGATCCGGCCACAATCTGGTCCTGCATTTACTATTGTACTGTGCAGTTTATATTGTAATCTCACTCTTTGTTGGCTACTAACTAGTTAGGAGAGCAACATGAAAAATAGAAATGTTATTATTAAATATCATGAAAATTAAAAAGCACTAAGTAGCAGCTACTTAGCAGATACTAGTATTACTATCTAAATCTATACATACTAGGGGTGGGATTATGTACACAACTACAGATGTACATGCTAGCCATACCACAGCTGTTTAGACAACATTCAACTCACTCACCTAAACATTTGCTAAGTATCTTGTTATAACGAGAATGGCTTCTCTGTTGCGCACCAACAATAAACTTCAAGGTCAAGGTCAAAGTGTTTATTCGTCATATGCACAGTTAGGAAACGTGTTTCCCTGTACAATGAAATTCTTTCTTTGCTGTCCACATGAATGCCACAAAATAAAAATGAAATAATGTAGATAAATAAGTAACA